CTCCTGGCCTTCTGGGGAGCCCCTTCACTCAGTGAGGTGAAGGCCTCCAAGACCCCACAGAGCTGGCCCACTCCTCTCTGACCTTGGCTCTCCCTGCTTGGCTCCTCTGGCCCCTCAATGTGCCTCTGGGCCTTTGCACTGGCCTTCCCCGCTGGCTGCAAGGCTCACTCCCTCCCTTCTCCCAGTCAACGGAGGTTGCCAACGGATGTTGCCTTTGGTATCCCTTGATCCTCTTAACATGGCTTTATTTTTCCAGAACAGGCATTACCATATGACTTCCCAGAGCACGGGTGGGAAATGTGTCTGTGAGCGAGCAGACAGCAAGCAGCTTAGGCTTTGCAGGCATTTCTGTTGCAACTCCTTGACCTTACCCTGATGGTCTGAAGACAGTTCGGGGATGGTACCCTGGACAAACCCTTACCTTTCTGACCTCAGTTTCCTTCCCTGTAAAATGGGTTTGAGAAAATTAGGATCCATACTACTGGCCTGTGTCTGCTGTAGCAAACCATAGGCTGGAGGTCTTAAAACAGCAGAAATATTTTCTCTCGCACCCTGGAGGCCAGAAGTCCGAGACTCAGGTGTTAGCAGGCTGCGTTCCCTTCTGAGGCTTTGCGGGAGGATCGTTCCTGCCTCTTGGGCCTTCTGGGGGCTCCAGGTGCTCCTGGGCTCGTGGCCGCATCCCTCCCACCTCTGTCTCTGTGGTCACACAGGGTGCTCCTTCTCTTTCTCCTCTTCTTCTGTCTCAAGTCACCCTCTGTCTTTCTGGTGTAAGGATAACTGTCACTGGGCTTAGGGTCTGCCCAGATAATCCAGAATGATCTCCTCATTTTGTGATCCTTAACTTAATGATACCTGCGAAGACCTTTTGTGCACGTAAGCTAATGTGCCCAGGTTCCTGGGATTAGGATGTGGGATATGTCTTTTTTGGGGAAGGGGGGCCACCATTCAACCCACTACAGGTATCTTTTTTTTTTTTAAAGATTTTATTATTTATTTGACAGAGAGAGAGATCACAAGTAGGCAGAGAGGCAGGCAGAGAGAGAGAGGGGGAAGCAGACTCCCCACCAAGCGGAGAGCCGGATGTGGGGCTCGATCCCAGGACCCTGGGATCATGACCCGAGCTGAAGGCAGAGGATTTAACCCACTGAGCCACCCAGGCGCCCCCCCACTACATGTATCTTTAAAGTGCCTTAAAAGGAAAATGAAACCGGAACGACAGCTTCTTAATCTGCAGTGAAAAGAAAACGAGGTGGACCAGAACCTGGTGCACCTCGGTCAAGAACACGGTCCCCAAGGACGCAGCTCACACGGCTGCGAACCTTCAGGAGGCCTGAAGCTCAGGGCTGCGGAAGGTCAGGGCTGGTGACAACTATGCGAGGGAGCAGGCGAGGTGGGGAGGTAACACTGAGTGGGTGCCAGCACGTCCACTGTCCCGCCCTGTCTGGGGCCCATGTCAATCACAACCCACATTTGGGCTGGTTTTAAAGCCTAAATAGCATTTTTTCCGTGTCTCCTCTTACTCGAGGTTCAAGCCAGCACCGGCAGATAAGAAGTCGATCAGACAGCACCAATCCCATTGTGCGAATGAGGATACAGAGGCTCTGAAGTTCAGCTGTTTCCATGCCACCATGTCCGCTGCCACCTAAGCCTTCCACTGCCCACCCCCACCCAGCAGTGGCCACCATCCCTCATCTGTCCCGGTGCAGGTGGCTGGGAGTCAGCGGTGCAGGGGAGAGGCTGGCGGGGCTCAGCAACATTCCCACCGCGCAACTCTACTGAGCAGCCCTCAGGAGGATGACTGTGGCTGGGAAAGCCCGGGAACACTGGGACCCCAGAGCACACCTCTGATCACAGTGGCCAGACCCGCCGGTCAGGAGAGCACTCGTGCCCAGAATAATTCTCCCCAGAGTCAGCATGTTCCAGCTTGGGAGGAAAACCAAAAAGGCACTTTCCCCCAAGTGTCCCGGGGCTGAGATGTCATCCTCTGAAGGGCCCTAAATGGACCCCAGTTGAGCCCCTGTCCCCGGAAACGATTAGATCCAACAGGTACCAAGCCCGTTACCTCACTGGGACGGAACTTGCATCTGAGGGACGAACTGAGAGCCAGCGCTTTCGTGTGGGAGGCCTGAGGCAAGGTCGGTGGGGTGGCGAGCTGTGACAGGCAGTCTTCGGGGGAAGTGGGAGCTTAGCATGTTCTCCGGTTGCTTCTTATGTGAGTGAGGAGTCTAAAAATTACTGCCCTCGTGACGATGGAATCCTACAGAATCACATAGGGATTCATTCTCCTGTGTTCTCTGCAAATGACTTTTCTAAAGTTCTGATAGGAGTCAGGCAACCTAGGATCTTGCTCTGATGCTTTGAGACCCGGGGCTCGGTCCTTCCCTTCTTGGGAGGGGGGTGGTCTCTGCTGGCTCCTCACCTTCCGCATCTCAGGGTCAGCACAGGAAACCGTGGGGCGTGCCCGCAGCCCCGGCCCCGCCATCCCCTCCCCAGCACAGCGTCTTCTGAATTCTCCCATTTGGAGAGTCAAGCTTTCCATCTCCCTCTTTGAGAACCAAGAATCTCAATGTCTGTCTGTGTGTCCTTTTTACTCTGGTTCATTTTCCTTTTAATCATTCGTATAACTGGGTACTCTATTCCCCTCTATTCCGTCTCAGACTGAGAACCTTGATTCGAACTTCGGACCAGCTGCTGTTGGAGGCGTCCTCTTAGCAGAGGCCCTGGGGCTCTTCCCCAGCGCTTTTAGCCAGTCTCATTAGCTTTTCCTAAAGCATGCTGAACCCAGTTCCTTTTCGCCATTCGGGAGCCTCCTGCCCCCCAACCCTGTCCGCCCAAGCCACCATCTCTCCTGGCTGCTGCCATGGGACCCATATGCTAACCAGTCTCCCATATCCCCTCTTCTCTCCTGTCCTGTCCCCACTCAGCAGCCAGAGTGCTCCTTCTATGAACTTAAGTCAGAGCTTTTCGCTTCATTCTGTCATTCAACAAACATTTATTGAGCACCTACTGTCTCCCAGTCTAAACTCGGGATACACAGAGAACAAAACAAATGAAAATCTCTGTTCTCTAGAGATTCTATTCTAGTGGAGGGCAGAAAAGTGAGTCAACAGTATGTCAGATGTTGGTAAGAGCCAGGAGAAAAGTAAAACAAAAAAAAAGGAGCAGGAAGTATCTGCCAGGCTGGGTAAGGGAGGGGGTGCGGTTTACTATTTTCAAAAGAGAGTCAGGGGAGGCCTGGATGAGGAGATGAAGATGTAAGGGTATAAATCCGGTGGAAAACTGGGGTAAAATTACCAGCCGAGAGAAGAGCAAGTGCAAAGGCCCTGAGGCAGGAGTGTGTCTGGTGTGTTTGAGGACCAGTAAGGGGACCTCTGTGGCTGGAGCCCGGTAAGGAAGAGGAAGGACAGTGCAATAGGAAGTCGGAGCGATAAAGGGACAGATGTGGCCGGATCAGGCCCTTAGGTGCCATAAGGCCTCCGGCTCTCTTCTGAGATGGGAGTCATAGTAGATTCTTGAGCAGAAGAGGGAACGTGATCTATCTTGTTTCAACAGGCTCACTCTGGATGCTGGGAGAGGAGGATGAGGGGGGTCATGGCAGGAAGTGGGAGACCCATCAGGGTGGAGAGGTGTTGGTAGTGGAGAGGCTACAAGCACTGGGAGTCTGCATCTGGCCCCAGGAGAGGCAGCAGGATGGGCTCCTGGACCCGTGCATGGGGCCTGCGTGAGGAACAGCAAGGAAACAGGTTTTGCTACTTAAACCGCTATAATGATTTCCTGTTGCTCTTGTGATAAGTTCTGGACGTGTTTTCCAGGCCCGTCCACTTCTCCTACTGCAGCACTGCCCCCTTCCACCCCGACCCGCAGCTTCTGCGGCCTTGGCCTTTGGGCTTCCTCCCGCGAGTCCAGCATCCAGGCGGGCCCCTGCCCAGGCCTTCACCCTTGATGCTGTCTCTGCTTGAACTGCTCTCCCCACAGTGTGCCTGGTCCTGAGTTGCGGCCAGCATGTCCCCACCTCCCTAAGTCACAATGTCCCAAAACTTTGCAGCCTAACACCATCTGTTTTTCATGGCCTCCCTTGTAGTCTGTTCACGGTGTTTTTGTTTTTCTGTCTTAAATTAATCTGTCTCTTGTATTTTATTTTTTTTTGTCTCCCTCTCTAGAACATAAGCCCCAGGAGGACAGAGACTTCTGCCTGACCACTGGCTTTGTAAAGCTGTCCCAAATACACGAAGATTCAAGCGGGCGTCAAGTGCATATCCTGGAGTATGGGGTTGCTCTTGTGAGTTACAGCTGGCTCTCTGGCACCTGGAGGCAGGCACCCCTATACCTATTTTATAAGGGAGAAAAGACTACCCCAGAGGTTATATTTAGATCTGCCCAAGGGCACACCCGGTTCTAGGAAGCAGCAGAGCCAGGGTTTGACCTTGGGCCCACCAGTTCCAGAGCCAGTGCTTTGCCCCCTCCCAGGCCCTCCTGTGTCCTGAGGGTTCAGAGCGGGGCTGCCTGCTCCGTTGGGCGCAGAGCCGGGAGGAAGGGGGGTGCTCGGTTCCATGCTTGCTTTATGAGCCAGAGGTGAGGTCTGACATCCTCGAGGGGCTCTCTGCCTCAGCTGGTCTAGAAGCGCATTTGGAAGAACAGCGTGTCTACTGCTCAGGGCTCGTGTACTGTATGTAACTAGCATAGAAGGTATATATTTAGTTAAAAAAAATTAACCTCAAGCTCACCACCACTCTCAGCCTGGCAGCTCCTGTCTGCCTCTGTTCATCATCCACCTCTGTCCCTGCCCCTGACCGACTCGCGGTCATCCTCATCGGCCCTCCCGGGCGCCCTCACCGGTGAGAGCAGGTGTCTTGGGGCCGCCCCGAGCGACCGGACCCTGCCAGGGTGGCTGCGGTCGCGGGAAAGTGCACACACCTGGCTCCGGGCTTCCCACCGAGGAATTGCCCCGCGGTGTGCCCCCCTTCCCACGCCCCGCCCCCTGTGCCTCAGTTTCCCCGCAGGCAAAAGCCGGGTCCTTGCCGCTCTACAGGTGACACACCTGCTTCCGGGACTCGATCGGCCCCGGAGCCCCCCTCCCCCGCGGGCCGTCAAGCCAGCTCCGACCCCGCGCCCCCGCCTCCCTGGGGAGCCCCCCAGGGAGGCGGGGGCGCGGGGAGGGCCGCGGGCCGGCTGCGGGGGGCGCCCGCGGGAGGGCGCGGCGGCGCGGGGGGCGGAGACGCGGCGCGGCTTCCGCTCCCGCGCCTCCTCCCTCCTCCCCCGCCGTCCTGGTCCGCGGCGCCGGAGGAGGGGAGGCGGCAGGCGCCGGGAGCCGCGCGAGGAGCCGCCGCCGCCGCCGCCGCCGCCGCGCCATGGAGCCCGAGTGAGCGCGCGCGGGCCCGCCCGGCCCCGGACAACATGGAGGCGGCGCCGCCGCGGCTGCTGCTGCTCGCGCTCTGCTGCAGCCTGGCCCCCGCCGCGGGTAGGTGGGCGCCGGCCGCAGGGACAATGGCCCGGCGGCCAAGTGCGCGGCGCGCGGAAGCGACTTTGCAAGTTGGGGGCGAGTTGGGGCGCGCGCCGCGGGCGCCCGCCGTTCCCCCCGCCCGCCGCCGTCCCGGGGGGGGGTGACCGCGCGCGGGCCCTTTGTCTCGCCCTCCCGGGCCCCTCCCGGGAAGGCTGGGCCCCGTCCCGCGCCCCGGGCCGGCGAGGAGCGCGCGCGGGCGGCGCCGACCCCGCCAGGTGCGGCGCGGGCGGGTCCTCACCTGCCCGCGGCCCGGGGCGCGCTCCGGAGTGCGGCCGCGTGTGGCCGGCCGGGAGAGGCCGCGCTGGGACCGTGGGGACCCCGGGCCGCGGGCCGGCGCAGAGCGGGGACTTTCGGCGCAGAGACAGGCCTCGCCGCCCTTCGTCGGGGACTCCTCCTCGAGCCCGTTTCCGATGGCCGCGCGGCCGGCCTGCCAGCCCCGAGAACTGATTTAAGTTGCGGAGAAAGTTCTCAGATCGGGCACCGGCGGCCTGGCCTGTTGCGCGGCCCCCTGCCATCTGCGAGGCTGTCGGCTTCCGAGCGGACCGACACCTGCCAGGTGCCCAGAGGACCCGTCTCGCCGCCCGGGCCCCCCGCTCCCACCCAGCACCCCGCGGTGGCACGGGGCCGGTGTCCACGCCAGGGGGGGCCTCGTGGGGCCGCCGCGCGGGGTGACGTGGTCGCAGAGCCCGGCGTGGTCGAGAGGCGCGCTGGTGCCCTCCCTTGTGCACACCCTTTGGGAGATCGAGGGCTGGGGACCTTTCTCTCCAACTTTTGGTGTGTCCCAAGGGGTGGAGTTGAGGTCAGGAGGACTCAGGAAACCTAAGCGCGCTGTGAAACGCTACACATGTTCTTTTAATTTGGAGATTGCCATGTGGTTTTGAAGCAAATCTCTTGCTACCTAAATCATTCTCTTCGGACGTGAGTGTTTTGTTTTTCTGGAGTGTGGCTGGCCAAACCGGACAGGGCCACAGAGCCCTGGGCTCCCTGGGCTGCTGTTCTGCTGCTAGGAGCAGATTTTTGGAGGTGGTGCTGGTGGTGACGGTGGTGGGTGGCTCAGGTCCCTTTGTCTGGGCCTCTTTAAGGCAAACAGCTGTCTCCTTGAATATTTCCAGTGTGGGACATTGCCGGGAGGTGTCCCGGCCAGGCACTGTGGTCACATTCCCAGTGCTGCGGCCTCTTCATTGAGGTTTGGGGGGGCATGGAGGGGATAGTTTCCCCAGGTCCCATTGCCTCCCAGTCCAAGCCTCCAGAATGCTGGCGGGTTCACCTCAAATTTATCTCCCTGGGGAGTGTGTTTACATTTCTCGGCCTTGTCTGATACTAGCAAAACAAGGTGACGACAAAACAGTATCTGGGTAGTTTAGGCCAACGCTGCTTCTTTTCTTTCCGGAAATGCCTGGATCACAGAGGCAAAAGGTTTTTGTTTTTTTTTTTTTTTGGAAGATGTTTGTTTTAAAGGTGGGGTTTCTCAGCGGGCTGTGTTGCTTTTCACTTTGCTGCTGTTTTGGATTTCCTGTACCTTTTGGGGTGACGTTGCTGGAGTCGAATGCCTGTCGTTTCGTGGTTCGAGGCCCCAAGGAGAAGGAATCCCATCCGTGGAGTTCAGTCGTGTAGGAGGCAAAAATAGAGCTGATTATTTTAACATTAGGAAGCATGTCAACGGCACGGGCCAATGTGGCAACCCAGTCCTAAAATGGAAGGAGAGGGAGGATTCCTTCTGCACAACTGCTTCGACTGTGCTTGCTGGTGCCCCTGATTTCTGTGTCAGATTTACGCAGTGGTCCGGAGTGGAGCCAGTAAGCTGGTAGCTAATTATTTTTCCTGATTGCTTCCTGTTGCAATTTAAAGCTGTGAGCCCACGGAAATGCCTTTGTTTTAGTGGTCCCGGTGCTGGGACTGGCCTTTTCCAGCTCCTCAGGCACAGGCCTCTCCCCTCTCTCTGGCCCCACAACACTTGCTATGGGACCACCTGTCCAGGACCCCCCCCCCCCGTCCCCCTACCGAGGGTGGTTCCTGCAGATGCCCACTGGAAGGGCCCAGCAGGTGGGTGCTGAGTTCATGACTGAATGCTGTGTGGCTGAATGCTGTGTGGCGTCCACTGAGAGCGGCCCCCACCCACCGTTTTTCAAAGCAGGGCCCACGTGCTTTTAACCCTCCCTGTTCAAATCCAAGAATTTACCCCGTCAGCCCCTATGATCCCACATTTGCTGTGGAGATCCTGTCGCATTTGGAACCCATTTAATTTCAGCCGCGCTGTATCACCGCTCAGGCATTTAGCAGAATTTGCACACTGCTGTGGGGGGAGGGGTGGGGGGAGGGGTGCAGTCGGTGAGGAGGACTCAGCACGGCTGCTCGTCCCCACAGCCTGGGCTGAGGATGGCGACTCTGGGGTCAGCCCAGCCTGGGTTTCCCTGCTCGGGAGCTATTTGACTTTGGCTGACGGACTTAAGCTGTTCCGTGTCCAGTGCGTTGAGGTCCAAAAGTGCTTTTTACACAATCTGGATTTTCCTTCCGCACATGACCTTGGATATCTGGTCCAGTGTCCTGACTCACTGACTGCTGCAACCCTGGTGGGGGCTCCTGAGGTCATGAGCAGTGGGGACAGAGCCCGAGTACCAGGGGCTGACGTCAGCCGGGGTGCTTGCTGCATGGAGGAGCTCGGCCGGCCAAGCTCACCCTGTGGGCTTCAGTTTTCTCTTCTGCAAAATGGGTTAATAGTACTTCCTACCACCCACTCGGTGAGTTAACGCCTGCCTGGCACTCCGTCAGCTCTTGTCCTTGCTGCTGTGACTCTTTGGCCCCTGATTCCATATGAAGCGTGGGGACAGAATGGCGGTGGCGGATGAGGCTGTCAGGGCGCTCTGTGTCGATACGAAGACAGGCACACGGAAGCCGCTCGTGCAGTTGTGGGAGCAGTAGGTTCCGGGGTCTCTCCCTCACAGTCCCAGAGTCTTGGCCTCAACGACCGGGTGGTCAGATCGTGCAGAGTCATGATGTGCTCCGGAAGGCAATGGAAGCTTCTGGAAGAATTTAGTCAGGACTAGGAAACAGGATAGGAAATGTAGGCTGGAGTCGTCAGGCCTCTCCTAGGTGAAAGGTGATGAATTGATTTTTTTTTTAAATTGAGGTGAAAATCACATAATCTAAAATGAACCTTTCGAAAGGATACAGTTTGCGGCGTTGAGTACTTTCACCGTACTGTGTCGCCACCCACTCAATCTAGTGACAGACATTTCTGTTTCCCCAAAATAAAACCCCACACCCATTGAACAAGAGCTTCCCATTCCCCTGCCAGCAGCCCGCTTTCGGGCTCAATGGGGTTTGCTGTTCTGGACATTTCTGTGCGTGCAGTCACATGAGACGTAGGCCGTTGGTGTCTGGTGGCTTCTGTCACTTCTGTCACTTGTGTCACTGAGCCTCCGTGTTTTCGAGGTTCATCCATGCTGTAGCATATGTCCCTGCTCCATTGTGTGCTGAGCAGTACTCGTCGTCTGGTCAGAGTGCATTTCGCTGGTCCACTCACCCGTCTGTGGATTGGCCTCAGTTGGGGCCCGCTCCGCAGGTACGAGCTGCGGGCCCTGCTGTCCGAGTGGGGTCTGCAACGGTGGAGCTGTTGGAAGCTGGGCTGGGAGCAAACAGATTTGTCCTTAGATCTGCATCTCAGTTTGGAGACTTGAGAGCTGGTGGCCAAGGCTGGGGACAAGCCGAGGGCCGGTGCTGGCCTCCAGGGGGAGGGATGCCGGGAGGTGGGCTTCGCTCCGTGTTCAGTATTGCCACAGCCCCAAGAGACACTGAGCAGTTGTGGCTTATGCCATTTCTTGGACCGTTGCTTAAGACGCTCTCAGCGCGGGGAGGCTCTGATGGGAGCCAGGGGCTGTGTCCCTGGTTCGCCGACACACTTAAGCCTGCCGGGGGGCTGTCCTGTGGACAGCGTGGGTCCCAGCGCTGACCTGTTGAGGCAGCTGCCTGTCTGGCCAGGAGCCAACCCCCTGGGTCCTGCCTGTGGCTCCGATCTGGTCTCTGCTTTCTCGGGGGAGCAGTTTGCTAGCTCCTGGCCTCACGTTCGTCATCCAAAAGTGGGGTGTGGGGTCTGGCTTGTGGGGTTCAGTGAGCCAGTGTCCAGGAGGAGGGACCAGGAGGCTCTTCCCCCAAGACCGGGTTCAGTGGGAGGGACACCCAAGGGGTCCTGCCCTAGGTGTTCAGGTTGTCTTTTCAGCGTGCTGAAGGGCACGGTCAGAGTCAAGTTGGAGAACGTCTTCTCCAGTGGAGGGCCAGGAGTGCTGAGACCTGTTGGGAGTCTAGGTTTGGCGCTGGCTTGTCCCCCTTGGGTGCCTGTTAGCCTTGAACCTGTCTAGAGCTCCAACCAGGAACAGACCTGGCTGCTGACCCTTCCCTGGTGAGGAAGGGTGTCCTGCTCCCCAAAGCCACGCGGCGCCCTCGTGCACATCTGTTCCGCCCCTCCTGAGCCCTGAGCAGCCCCAGCTCCTGTGCGGCTCCCAGGCCAGCCTTGCCCACCTGGTGGGGCCAGTTAACCCTCTACGGGCCCCACCCTTGGCCTGCCAAGGTCAGGTTATCGTGGTGATAACCTGTTGCGGTGGGGGGGGCATACTGTTCTTTGTGGGTATTTTCTTATTTGCTTTATTGGTTGGTATTTAATTCAGCGCTTTCAGTTTGCCTCATTGCAGTTTTCTAGTGCTTAAAGGTAAGGAAGATTCGCTCAGGGAGGAAAGTAGTTTTTAGCCTTTTTGGGGTCTCATGCGCCCCCTGAGCATCTGGTAAGGCTCCTCCGGCTGGAAGGAGCCAGCACGAGCGGCGCACGCACCCTGGGCCCCTGACGGCCTCCCCATGGGGTCCGGGGTGCACTTCTCTTCCACGAACCTCAGTTTCCTTCTTTGTTGTTTTTTTTTTTTTTTTAAAGATTTGATTAATTTATTTGACAGAGAGAATAAGAGGGAGCACTAGCAGGGGGAATGGCAGGCAGAGGGGAGGGACAGAGGGAGAAGCAGACTCCCCGCTGAGAGGGCCCCCTCCCACTGTGGGGCTGGATCCCAGGACCCTGGGATCATGCCCTGAGCCGAAGGGAGATGCTTAGCTGACTGAGCCACCCAAGCTTCCCTACTTCCACAATTTTTTTTATTGCCTGAAACAGAAACTGTGTCCCTGAGCCGTCACGCCCCCGTCGTCGCTCTCCACAGCTCCCGCTCACCCCCCTCCTGCTTTCCTGTGGCCGCGAATCTGCCCGTTCTCCCTGCCTCCTCTTCGTGGACTCGTACGGCGTTTGTCCTTCAGTGGCTGGCTGATCTCATCTAGCCTGATGTTTCCGGTTCATCCGAGCCGTAGCGTGTGGCAGAACTCCATTCCCTCTTGTGGCCGAATCCTCTCTCCCCGTGTAGACAGCGCACGTTCTGTTTGCCCATGCACCTGCTGGTGGCCCCCGGGGCTCTTACCCCTCTGGCTGCTGCTGAGAACCTGGGTGTGCAAGCATCTCTCTGGGTCCTTGCCTTCACTTTGGGGCACGTGCCTGGGAGTGGGGCTGCTGGGCCACATGGTAGTTCTGTGTTGGATTTTTTTCTTTTTGAGGACCCATCAGTCTGTGCTGTTCAGCAGCTGCCCCGTGTAAGGGGAGAGCTCCAGTCTCTCCACATCCTGCTCAACGCCTCTTTGCTTTGCTTTTCCTTTTTTTTTTTTTTTTTTGCACGTACTTGTTGGC